GTCACAGACTGAAACAGGCCCCAGGCTCCGAGCCGGCAGTCAGCACAGAGCCCGACGCGGGGCTCGAACCCACGAACCGCGAGATCATGACCTGAGCGAGAGTCGGACGCTCAACCGACTGAGCCACCCAGGCGCCCCTGTTTTTTTTTTCATTTTTTAATGTTTATTATTATTATTTTTTGAGAGAGAAAGAGCGTGAGCAGGGGAGGGTCAGAAAGAGAGGGAGACACAGAATCCGAAACAGGCTCCAGGCCCCGAGCTGTCAGCACAGAGCCCGACGCGGGGCTCGAACCCACGAACCTCGACATCATGCTGTGAGCTGAGGTCGGAGGCCTACCCGACTGAGCCGCCCAGGCGCCCCCCGCTTCCCCGTTTTATAAAGGAGCACGTGGGGCAGACATTCAGTCTGTTTGCAGGTAAGAAACAAGGAGCTAAGAGTTGAATGCTTCTGCATGTCCGGCTTTCTCAATTTCTTAAAATGGACCCGCAAACAAGACTGTTATAGACTCAAGACTCACGTGGGCCGTGCCTCTTTCGAGACGGTGAATCTGCAAGCCGAGTTCCTCTGAGATAGTCGTCTCGTTTCCAGATTTGTGGTGTTGTCAACCCTGTGGCCAGATGGCCCGTCTGGCCCTGAGGTGTGTCCGTCCACCGTATCTTAAAAATACATGATTTTATTACGGCATTGGACACCCCAGTGTCATCCCAAGCGCTGGCCTCAGAGCTTCTGGAACCTGCCACGTTATGTGGGGACACGTCCTCACGCCGGCGCCGTCAACAGAGGCTTTGTGCCTTAGAAATTACGCCTGGGTGGCTCAGTCGGTTAAGCGTGCGACTTCGGCTCAGGTCATGACCTCGCGGTTCTTCGGTTCGAGCCCCGCGTCGGGCTCTGTGCTGACTGCCAGCTCGGAGCCTGGAGCCTATTTCGGAGTCTGTGTCTCCCTCTCTCTCTGACCCTCCCCTGCTCACGCTGTCTCTCTCTCTCCTAGAAATAAATAGAAACATTTAAAAAAAAAAAAAAAGAAATTACACATCTCGATGCGTCCCTGAGTTTTGAGGAGACAAAATGGACCTGATGTGTTCTAGGGCGTTGTTCTGATCTTGCAGAAAAATCTCCTTAAAAATTCTATTTGGGGGTCACCTGGGTGGCTCAGTGGCTTAAGCGTCCGACTTCGGCTCAGGTCACGATCTCGTGGTTTGTGGGTTCGAGCCCCACGTCGGGCTCCGTGCTGACGGCTCGGAGCCTGGAGCTGCTTCGCATTCTGTGTTTCCCTCTTTTGCTGCCCCTCCCCCGCTCATTCTCTGTCAAAAATTAATCAACATTAAAAATAATAACAAGAAGAAGCCAGTTACCCGTTATTACCAGTGATGCAGTTTTTTTTCAGTTGAAAAATAAGAACATTCTGCAAAAGGCAAAGTAGGCTAGTGGTTGCCCTGGCTCTGTGTTCGGTGTCTGCCATTCAGGGCTTTCTGGAAGGCGGCGGGTGCTGCATCCGCTGCCTCCCCCTCCCTCGGGAAGCGCCATTGGGGGAGAAACCCGGCCGCCCTCACTGGGAAAGGCAGGACCTCGCAGGCCCCCGGAGGGTCTTGGGGACGGTCCCTCAGAGGTGCCCGGAGCACCTTCCAGAATGAGTTGTCTGCAACCCTTGGGTGGGGGCCTCCTGACCTCGTTCCGCTAAATCAATGTTAATTATAACAGCAGTGACGCGCTAGGAAGAGACGATACGCCCACGGGTGTTGCTCGGGTACGAGGGTCACCTTGCGGACCCAGGGTGCCGCACTGCGTTCCGCGGATCCTTGGCCGTTTCCGTGTCGGGTTTGCTGTGTCCTGCTTGGGGGTCCCTGTTTCTGCAGGCGCTGGCTGTGTGGGATCCCCCACCTGTTCTGGACACTCCGCGCCTCGTATCTTAGCTCCTTACCTGGGGTTGGTCGCAGCAAGGGTGCCCTGCAGCCCGTGGAGGCCCATAACGCCCCATCAGATAGGAGTGTTGTGACATCTTCCTGAAAAGCCTCAGGCGGCCCAGGGTGCAGGGGTGTGGCTGCCTGTGAGGATGTGGGGGCGTTTGGGGTGTGACGTTGACACTCGATGTCTTTTGAAGTTTTACCTTTGTCCTAGGTCTGCCCTGGGTCAGCCTTACCTGACTGCCACTGGCTTTGGAATGTCACAAATCCATCCTCTGCCAGCTCTGGAGACGATAGTCTGACATCCAGGGGGGGCGGGACCCCTGAGATCCAGGCAGGGAGGGACCCCTGAGACCCAGGCAGGGCGGGACCCCTGAGATCCAGGGGGGCAGGACCCCTGAGATCCAGTGGGGGCGGGACCCCTGAGACCCAGGATGGGGCGGGACCCCTGAGACCCAGGCAGGGCGGGACCCCTGAGACCCAGGATGGGGCGGGACCCCTGAGACCCAGGCAGGGCGGGACCCCTGAGATCCAGGGGGCGAGACCCCTAAGGCCCAGGCTGGGCAGGACCCCTGAGATCCAGGCAGGGCGGGACCCCTGAGACCCAGGGGGGCAGGACCCCTGAGATCCAGTGGGGGCGGGACCCCTGAGACCCAGGCAGGGCGGGGCCCTACTCTCTCTGGAGGCTCTAGAGCAAGGTCCTTCCTGCCTCCTCCAGCTTTTTGGGGCTCCTGGCATCCCCAGACTTGTGGCCGCGTCCCTCCCATGACCTCTTGCTGACTTCTTTCACTCAATCCCTGCTGGGTCCTATTTCAAATGCGGTTACATTTACAGGTTCTGGGCGCACCTGTAACCTGTACGTTTTGTTGGCGGGTCTGCCACTCCGTGTCCTTCGGCTCTGACGTTTCGTTCTGATCCTATTTCCAAATCCTCAGACAATGGCCTGGTCGCTGTAGTTTGCTTGTTAACCCCGCGATCACCGTGTGGCCGGTTGAAAAGTCGCAGACGTAACAGAGACCTTTGGACAGAACCCAGCCGCCCTTCTGGGCATCCGCGTCCCGACTGGCCGCCACAAGGGACCAGACCGGGGGGCCTCGGGGCCCGCAGGACCCTGGGGGGCTGGCCCCTAGGCCATCAGAGCCTCCCCAAGAGCCGGCTGATGCTGTAGCCCGTGCGCAGCCAATACGTATTTCTGCGAACACGGGGGCGTTTTGAGAAGCTGCAGGGATCAAGACGTGCGCTCCTGCCCCAGTAAGGTGACCCATCACGGATGTGCCCGAGCTAAAAGGGGAGCGTGCCACGTTCAAAGAGGCGTCGCCTTAAACACGTAAAATCTGGAAACAAAACAAAAAAAAAAAAAACGTGGTCACGCCTCTTAGACAAGTTAACGACTGTCCCGTCGAAACAGAAATCCCGTGTCTGCTTCCTGGATGCCGTGCGCACGCTCCGCGGACGACAAGGCTTGAGGAGGTGGTGGCGGTGGGTCCTCCGGGGCTGGCGCCCGCGCTGGGGGTCGCGGGGTCCCCGAGAGTGACCCCGCCTGGCTGGCGCCGGAGTGGGGGGAGCCTCGTAGCACGGGAGGCCGTAAAGAGCCAAGATGAGGAAGACGGAGAAACCCAAAGACGTGCATGTTCTCAGACGCGTGGACTCGCTCCGCTCAGCTGCCCGGGCGCCCCCTCCGCGTGGCCGGAGCCTCACGCACGCCCGGAAAGGCGGCCCGTCGGGTCCCCGTGCCCCGCGGCTTCCAGACCGCGTGCTCGCTCGTGCCTGGGTCCCTTCTCACGCTGTGTTTGTCTTCCTGCCTCCCAGCAGGTGCGCAGGAATGAGCGGAGGCCCCCCCGGGCGGGCCGTGGCACAGAAGCCATGGAGGCGAAGGGCCTGGACCCGTCCCAGACGGACCTCAAGCTGGTGGCCCACCCGCGCGCCAAGAGCAAAGTGTGGAAGTACTTTGGCTTCGACACCAACGCCGAGGGATGCATCCTGCAGTGGAAGAAGATCTACTGTCGCATCTGCATGGCTCAGATCGCCTACTCCGGAAACACCTCCAACCTCTCTTACCACCTGGAGAAGAACCACCCCGACGAGTTCTGTGAGTTCGTCAAGAGCAACACCGAGCAGATGCGGGAAGCCTTCGCCACCGCCTTCTCGAAGCTGAAGCCCGAGGCCTCCCAGCTGGCCCCGCCCGACGCGCTGGCCGCCAAGGCCGGCCACGGCCACGAGAGCAAGCGTCAGCAGGAGCTGACGGCCGCCGTGCTCGGCCTCATCTGCGAGGGCCTGTACCCCGCGTCCATCGTGGACGAGCCCACCTTCAAGGTGCTGCTGAAGACGGCCGAGCCCCGGTACGAGCTGCCCAGCAGGAAGTTCGTGTGCTGCAAGGCCATCCCCGAGAAGTACGGCGCCGTCCGCGAGGCCGTCCTCAAAGAGCTCGGCGACGCGTCCTGGTGCGGCATCTCCACGGACATGTGGAGGAGCGAGAACCAGAACCGGGCCTACGTCACCCTGGCCGCCCACTTCCTGGGCGGCGCGGCCCCCGGCTGCCTGTCCGTGGGCTCCCGCTGCCTGAAGACGTTCGAGGTCCCCGAGGAGAACGCGGCCGAGGCCATCACCCGGGTGCTGTACGAGGCCTTCATCGAGTGGGGCATCAGCGCCAAGGTCTTCGGCGCCACCACGGACTGCGGCAGGGACGTCGTGAAGGCGTGCTCCCTGCTGGACATCGCGGTGCAGATGCCGTGCCTGGGCCACACGTTCAACGCGGGCATCCAGCAGGCGCTGCAGCTGCCCAAGCTGGCCGCGCTGCTGGGCCGCTGCCGCAAGCTGGTGGAGTACTTCCAGCAGTCCACGGTGGCCATGTACATGCTGTACGAGAAGCAGAAGCAGCAGAACGTGGCGCACTGCATGCTGGTCAGCAACCGCGTGGCCGGGTGGGGCAGCACGCTGGCCATGCTGCAGCGCCTCAGGGAGCAGCAGTTCGTCATCGCGGGCGTGCTCGTGGAAGACAGCAACAATCACCACCTGATGCTGGAGGCCGCCGAGTGGGCCACCATCGAGGGCCTCGTGGACCTGCTGCATCCCTTCAAGCAGGTGGCCGAGATGCTGTCCGCCTCCAAGCACCCGACCATCAGCATGGTGAAGCCGCTGCTGCACATGCTGCTCAACACCACCCTCAACATCAAGGAGACAGACTGCAAGGAGGTGAGCATGGCCAAGGAGGTGATCGCCAAGGAGCTCGCCAAGACGTACCAGGAGACGCCGGAGATCGACATGTTCCTCAACGTGGCCACCTTCCTGGACCCCCGCTACAAGCGGCTGCCCTTCCTGTCGGCCTTCGAGCGGCAGCAGGTGGAGAACAGGGTGGTGGAGGAGGCCAAGGGCCTCCTGGACAAGCTCAAGGACGGCAGCGGGTACCGGCCGGCCGAGGACAAGATGTACGCGCTCCCGGAGGAGCCGCCGGTCAAGAAGCTGGTGCTGGCGTCCCCGCCGCCGCCCGCCAGCGTCATCAACAGCATGCTGGCCGAGATCTTCTGCCAGACAGGCGGCGTCGAGGACCCGGAGGAGTGGCACGCGCAGGTGGTGGAGGAGCTGAGCAACTTCAAGTCGCAGAAGGTGCTGGGCCTCAACGAAGACCCGCTCAAGTGGTGGTCGGACCGCCTGGCCCTGTTCCCCGTGCTGCCCAAGGTGCTGCAGAAATACTGGTGCGTAGCGGCCACGCGCGTCTTCCCCGAGCGCCTCTTCGGCTCGTCGGCCAACGTGGTGAGCGCCAAGAGGAACCGCCTGGCCCCCGCGCACGTGGACGAGCAGATCTTCCTGTACGAGAACGCGCGCAGCGGCGCCGAGCCCGAGCCCGAGGACGAGGACGAGGGCGAGTGGGGCCTGCACCACGAGCACGTGTGCGCCCTGGGCGACGCCGTGCACGCCGGCTTCTTCGGCATCAGGGACGGCGGCTTCGTGTAGGCGCCCGGGCGGGGACGGGGGTCACCACGGAGCCGCCCCTTGCGGCGGGGCCCGCCGTGGATGTCCGGGACGCGCGCGCATGGGCGCACGGGCGCACGGGCACGTAGGCGCACGGGCGCACGGGCACGCGGGCACGTGGGCACATAGGCGCACGGGCACGCGGGCACACGGATGCACGGGCGCAGGGACGCATAGGCGCATGGGCGCACGGGCGCACGGGCACACGGGCGCACGGGCACATAGGCGCACTGGCGCGCGGGCACGTGGGCACACGGGCGCAGGGGCGCATAGGCGCAGGGGCGCATGGGCACACGTGTGCACGGGTACACAGGCGCATGGGCGCACGGGCGCAGGGGCGCAGGGACGCACGAGCGCATAGGCCCTTGAATGCACGGGCACGCGCACGCGGGTGGGAACCTCAGCGGCGCAGGCGCACGACACACGCGTGGATGTGCGCGCCCCGCAGTGCGGCACCCGGCGCCTTTCTTTGCAGAGACCTCGTGCACCCCCAGCTCAAGGACACACAACTAGGAAAGTTCTAGAAGTCCCCTTACCCACCCGCTACCTGGCTGATGGTTGCAACTGTAAAGTGCCAGAGACCAGCCAGGAAGGGAAGGGAGGAAGGGATGAGGGAGGCCCCTTTTCTGTTCTCACCCCCAAAGACGTAGTGGTGTCCACGAGAAGGTTTGGGGTCACCCCCAGGCAAGGAAAAAAAAAGAAATCAAAGGTCCAGCGTCCCTCCCTCCCCAGACATCGTCACACAGGACTTCACGCGCCTGGGGCGCAGATGAGCTCGCGGTGACTTTACGATTGAACTTGGCCCCTGGTGCACGGTCCGGGAGGACGCGCGCACGCTTTGGGCCCCTGCGCCCCGTGTGCAAAGCAGACCAGCTGCGGGTTTGGTGCAGCGCGATCCAAAGGAGCGAAGGCGGCCCGGTCGCCCCCAATTCGCTTTCTGCACAGGTTGTTTCCAAGCCTTGCAGCCCTGGCGTCTCGAGCCGTGTGTGTGTGTGTGTGTGTGTGTGTGTGTGTATGTGTGTGTGTGTGTGTGCGCGCGCGTCCCCAATGCTTCAAAGGGCTGCTTTCTCCACCGTGTTTCTCAGGATGTGAACAAAGCCCGCCTCGCCCTAGGAGCCCTGCTTGTAGACAGTACCAGGGACCCGCGTGCGCCCAGAGGGATTTAGGTGCGAATCCGGGACAGGGGCCTCCAGCATTCTGTATTCTCAACCCGGCACGTGGGAGCCGCTGATTTACAAAAAACAAAGAACGAAAAACTACCACTGGATTCTTCGGGGTCGCTTTGGCCAAACAGGATTGCTACTCGGTGACACGGTGCCGGGCCCGGCCTCTGAGGGCGACGCCGACACTCACCCGCCGGGATTTCTCCGTGTCCTCTGGGAGGTGACTCGCCTACTTTCAACGACGCCCAGACTTGTACTGTGACGCCAGCGCCGGAGGATGAGGCTTCCCCACGGGACGGTGTTCTTTTCTGTCTTTTTCTTATTTAACGCTTTGGAATCTGACTCTTGTTCAATAAAGCGGACAAACGAACGAGCTGCTAATGAATCTGCCTGATGGGTGTCTGTTCGGAGAGGAGGCGTCGAGCCACAAGGGAGGGGTCGGTCAGTTTCTTTCAGGAATTTTCCG